GTACACTATTGTTTGGAAGGGGAATCCCCTTCCATAAATACTTCAGGTACCAAGTCCTTTTTTGGGGTTACTTCCCATCTTTGTTTTTTAATGCCACTGGGACCAGCTTGGGAGTCACTGGACCCCTGTCGCACAAAATATCTGCCCAGAGAGCTCTGTTTCTGGCATTTCTTTAAAACTTCCCTAAAATGGGACACAACAATGTCATTGTACATGTTGCCAACATGGCCTGCAACAGCTTTGTCAGGGTGAAGGTCATCCATAAATGTTTGCTCATCACTCCACTTAGCACAAATGCCCTTAATCTTTGAAGAAAGCACCTTCCTCCATCTCTCTTCCTTCTCCTCTGAAGCAATTTCCTGAGCTGTGGTCTGTTACTGCTGCAGATGAAGCTCTTGCAGCTCTGTAGTGGTTAGCTCTTCATCATGGTCCTCCACCAACTCTTCCACATCCTCAAAACTCACATCCAACCTCATGGAATTCCCCATTGCCACAATACTTTCCACAACTGGCATAGGCTCCTCAGGGTCAGCCCCAAACCCTTCAAAATCTCTCTCTTGTACACATTGTGGTCACAGTTTTCTCCAAGCAGCGTTCAAAGTCCTGGAAGTCACTCCCTCTCAAACCTTACCTATAAGGTTTATGCGTGGAGAATATTGAAGTGATCTTTCAGGAAGTCTCTTAGGGTCAGTTCAGTGTCTGAGGTCACTTCAAAGCACTTTTGAAACACTGCTTTGGTGTACAGCTTTTTGAAGTTTGAAATGACCTGATGGTTCATTGGCTGGAGGAGAGGAGTGGTATTAGGGGGGCATGAACTTCACTGTGATGAAACGAAACTCCTGCACCATTTGTTTTTCCAAGTCTAGAGGATGAGCAAGAGCAGTGTCCATTACCAGGAGGCACTTGAGTTTCAATTTATTTTCCTGGAGGTATTTCTTCAGAATGGGGCCAAACACCTCATTGAACCAATCAAGGAAAATTTCCCTCGTGACCCATGCCTTATTGTTAGCCTTCCATATCACACACAAATTAGCCTTGGCATCACTGTTTTTCTTGAAAATGCTGGGATTTTCAGAGTGATACGCCAGTAAAGGCTTTACTTTGCAGTCCCCACTAGCATTACTACAAAACTTAAGAGTTAGCCTGTTTCATAGGCTTGTGTCCTGGCAGTGCTGTTTCCTCCTGTGTGATGTAGGTCCTCTTTGGCATTTTCTTTCAAAACAAGCCTGTTTCGTCACAATTGAACACTTGGTGTTTGAATTGTTCAGCCTTTATGTACCCCTTGAATTCCTGAACATAATTTTCAACCGCATTTTTGTTAGAACTTACAGCTTTGCCATGCCTTACCATACTGCGTATGCCACTATGCTTCTTAAATCTCTCAGACCAGCCTTTGTTGGCCTTAGAATCACGAACATGAGCACTTGCTGCAGGCATTTTCTTTACGAGATCGTCATGTAACTGCCTTGCTTTTTCACAAATTATCAATTGCATAACATTATTTCCTGCTAACTGTTTTTGGGTAATCCACACGAACAATAACCTCTCCACTTCTTCGAGTATTTGCGATCTCATTTTTGTAAGCATATCTACCCCTTTTGCAACAACAACTTCCTTGATTTCCTTTCCCTTCACCACGATTGAAGTGATGGTTGAATGGTGTTTGCCATTCATCCTGGCAAGCTCTGAAACACGCACTCCTTTTTCATATTTTTCAATGATTTCTTTCTTTAATTCGATAGTGTTTCTTACATTCTTTACCAAAGGGCTGGCACTAGCTTTTTGCAGGTCCATGGTGACTTATTTAGCAGTTGGAAGCACAAAAAAGAATGGAATATTATGAAATGTATTGTATAAATGCGTGCAATGATGGTCACTCGCTGATAAACAATGGCACACTGACGAATGGCGTGGGAGACTGGCTTTGTGGCGCTGACACTGGGCGGACGTGTACCAGATGGTTGGCGAATCAAGATACCAGTCATGAGTTGCCAAAAGTCAGATTTCAAGAAAGTCATGGCCCCCGAAACTCGGTGGTCCACTGTACAGTATTTTGTTTCTATTAACACATCGACCGTCTCCCACCAAGGCAGAGTGGCTCAAAAAAAGAACTTTTATCATTCACTCCATCACTGTCTTGCCAGAGGCATGCTTACACTACAGTTATATAAATGAAACATTAACACCCCTACTTCAAGGTGTAGACACTGTACTTCTCATCTCCAGGACTTAAGTCCGGCCTGCTGGTTTCCTTGAATCTTTTCATGAATGTTACCTTGCTCACACTCCAACAGCACATCAAGTCCTAAAAACCATTTGTCTCCATTCACTCCTATCTAACATGCTCATGCATACTTCCTGGAAGTCCAAGCCCCTCGCACACAAAACCTCCTTTACCCCCCCTCCCTCCAATCTTTACTATGGCTTCCATCCACTACAGCTTTATACATTCAAAGTCAATCTGTTTTCTTCTATCCTCTCCACATGTCTGAACAACCTCAACAACCCCTCTTCAGTCCTCTTAATTTCCCAACTACGAATTCTCAGCATTATATTCACACCACACATTGCTCTCAGACATGACATCTCCACTGTCCCCATCCTTCTCCTTGTTGCAACATTCACCACCCATGCTTCACATCCATATAAGAGTGTTGGTATAACTATACTCTCATACAGTACCCTCTTTGCTTCCTTGGACAAAGTTCTTTGTCTCCACAGACTCCTAAGCACACCACTAACCTTTCTCCCTTCATTAATTCTATGATTCACTTCATCTTTCATAGACCTATCTGCTGAAATGTCCACTCCTAAATATTTGAATACATTCACCTCCTCCATCCTTTCTCCCTCCAATCTGATATCCAGTCTTCTGTCATCTAATATTTTTGTTATCCTCATTACCTTACTCTTTCCTATATTCACTTTTAATTTTCTTCTTTTACATACCCTACCAAACTCATCTACCAACCTCTGCAACTTTTCTTCAGAATCTCCCAGAAGCACAGTGTCATCAACAAAAGAGCAAGTGTGACAACTCGGTAAATGAATACATCACTAAGTGAAGAGAGGTTGTATTTGTTTTATCATACTCCATGAATATAATAAAAATTAAAGATGTTTATATTGAAGTCATATTGTTTACTCAATTATTAGTTTACACAGTTATTATTCACAACTTGCTGTGGCTTAGCGCTTCTTTTTGATTATAATAATAATATTCACAACTTGTGATTTATCTTGATCTTTACAGATAAACATTTAAAAGTGACAGTTTTATTTAATGAAACATGTGACAAGAGCGACAAAATTCTTTTCTAGCTAAGTATGTTGTGTTTGTAATTGTGGAATATTGTACTACACTGACTTATGTTTCTATTGCAGAAGTATTTTGTGGAAGACTACCAGGTTGTGTCTTGCCAGACACTATATCTTCAGTACTTCAAGAAGCACCAGTGTAAGTGTCTTGAACAACAACTGATATTGCAGAAGTATTTTGTAGAAGACTACCAGGTTGTGTCTTGCCAGACACTATATCTTCAGTACTTCAAGAAGCACCAGTGTAAGTGTCTTGAACAACAACTGATATTGCAGAAGTATTTTGTAGAAGACTACCAGGTTGTGTCTTGCCAGACATTATATCTTCAGTTCTTAAAGAAGTCTCAGTGTAAGTGTCTTGAACAACAACTGATATTGCAGAAGTATTTTGTGGAAGACTACCAGGTTGTGTCTTGCCAGACACTATATCTTCAGTACTTCAAGAAAGGCAACATCTGTTATTCTTGTGAATTTTTAACTGGCTAAGTATTGCTAATTACGAGGGTCCATCTCGTAGTTCTACAGATTTTAAGCCAGGGTCCAAGCCATAGTACTACATAATGAGCTCACATCACTCAGATAAGCTGTGAGCAGTAAATTTGGGCCTAGATATGAGAGAATGCGTCTATGTGATAAGTGTGCACCATATAAAACAAATCCTGCAGCACACAGAGCATAATGAGAGAAAACAGGGATCAAAATTGTGTATGTGAATAAAAAATCAAAATGGAATTCATTTGTAAACCCTGGAAACACATCTCATAAACAGAAGCAATGTTATTTTAGTGCTAGGAATGCTCGCATTGCTTCTTATGGACCCTATTTTGAAACTGGAATATTTTGAACTTAGTGTGAAATTAGCCAAATTACCAAGTTCTGTTCACTTTACTGGGTAATTGAAATAGTTGACTGGGCAATTTCTTGTGCTTAACAGATAAAACGGGACACATACTAGCAAAATAAAATTTGGTGAAATGGAACAATGTAATTGGCTGATAACAGGACTCAGTGGTCAAAATCGCCAGAGCGTAAATATCAGTGACACTGCAAAATTTGTAAGAGCATAACTTCATCAGTTCTTGATCAAATTTCATACTTTTTGTTTATGTTACCTTCAGAAAAGATTCTTTACTATTCACAAAGAGAAAATAAGAATTCTTTTTTTTTTTTTAAATTCCTGGACCCTCTGTGGTATTTTCAGATTGAGGGTCTGGATCCTCAAAGGATTAATAATGATAAAAATGCAAGTTAGTAATTCCATAAATAAAATTTTTTCAAAAATTTTGTTTAAATGCAAAGAAAATAATAAAAATGTTATTGAGTGTATCTAGAGTGTTCTAGTACATATATTACTCTTTTAACACACAAAACAAAACTTATGATAGTCTTTTAATACACAATATAAACTTTATTAGTGCTCATAAGTAGAAAAAGTTTTGGCCAAATAAATCTTAACATGGCAATATGTTAATAAGAAAAACTGTGTTCAGTGTCCTGAATAGTTAAAAAAAAAAAAAATCTTGAAATAGACATGTGAGTACATAAGGAAGATTAACTATACCGCTGTTGTATGACTTAAAATATTTTAAATGAAATACCTTTGTTTAAAAAATATGGAAAAACATAAAGAACATAAACCATATCAATGTTCAGAATGTCGTGAAATGTTTTAGTAAAAAATAAACATCTTGTAACACATATGAGAGTACATACAGGCAATAAACCATATCAATGTTCTGAATGTCTGAAATGTTATACTGAAAAAGGTAATCTTGTGACACATATGAGAGTACATACAGGAGATAAACCATATCATTGTTCAGAGTGTCTGAAATGTTTTACCGAAAAAGGTAGTCTTGTGACACACATGAGAGTACATACAGGACATAAACCATATCGATGTTTGAAATGTCAGAAATGTTTTACTCAAAAAGGTAGTCTTGCGACACATGTAAGAGTTCATACAGGAGATAAACCATATCAATGTTCAGAGTGTCTGAAATGTTTTGCTGAAAAAGGTAATCTTGTGACACATATGAGAGTACATACAGGAGATAAACCATATCAGTGTTCAGAATGTCTGAAATGTTTTACTGGTAAAGGTAATCTTGTGACACATATGAGAGTACATACAGGAGATAAACCATATCAATGTTTGGAGTGTTTGAAATGTTTTAGTGTAAAAAACCAACTTGTGACACATATGAGAGTACATACAGGAGATAAACCATATCAGTGTTCAGAGTGTCTGAAATGTTTTACTGGTAAAGGTAATCTTGTGACACATATGAGAGTACATAGAGGAGATAAACGATATCAATGTTCAGAGTGTTTGAAATATTTCAGTAAAAAAAGCAATCTTGTGACACATATGAGAGTACATACAGGAGATAAACCATATCAGTGTTTAGAGTGTCAGAAATGTTTTACTCAAAAAGGTAGTCTTGTGACACATATGAAAGTACATACAGGAGATAAACCATATCAATGTTCAGAGTGTCTGAAATGTTTTACTGAAAAAGGTAATCTTGTGACACATATGAGAGTACATAGAGGAGATAAACCATATCAATGTTTGGAGTGTCAGAAATGTTTTACTCAAAAAGGTAGTCTTGTGACACATATGAGAATACATACAGGAGATAAACCATATCAATGTTCAGAGTGTCTGAAATGTTTTAGTGTAAAAAAACTTCTTGTGACACATATAAGAGTACATAGAGGAGATAAACCATATCAGTGTTTGGAGTGTCTGAAATATTTCAATCACAAAAGCAATCTTTTGACACATATGAGAGTACATACAGGAGATAAACCTTATCAATGTTCAGAGTGTCTGAAATGTTTTAGTGTTAAAAAACTTCTCGTGACTCATATGAGAGTACATACAGGAGATAAACCATATCAGTGTTTGGAGTGTCTGAAATATTTCAATCACAAAAGCAATCTTTTGACACATATGAGAGTACATACAGGAGATAAACCATATCAGTGTTCAGAGTGTCTGAAATGTTTTAGTGTAAAAAGCAATCTTGTGAGACATGCACGAGTACATTCAGGAGATAAAACATGTTAGTTTTCAATGTTTCAGGAATATTTTAGTTATAAACTCATGAGAATATATATAAGGGATATACCATAATAGTGCTGAGATTGAAATATGTTAATGAAATGTCAGTCATATAAAGTTCTTTGAGGAGATAAGTTGTATTAATGTTCAGAACTGCCCATCTTATTGTTGGGTGATTTTAACCCTTTCAGGGTCCGTCCCGTAGATCTACAGCTTCATGTTGAGTGTCCAAACCATAGATCTACGCCAAAATTCTAGCGCCGTCAAATTTAGCGTGAAAGCGCTCATAGGCCTACATGTGAGAGAACGGGTCTGCGTGGTGGGTGTGCGCCATAAATAAAAAATCTAGGCGCCCGCATAGCATTGTGGGAAAGCCGGCTCATTTTACCCTTTTCCCCATCCCTGTCGCAAGTCACTCTCACCCCCCCCAAAAAATTTGGGGACTCTCCTCTTCCATCTGATATTTTTGACACTGATGGAAGTAGAAATAAAGACAAATTCTAGGGCTTTGACAGTTAGTGACCGAAAGGAATGACCAGGATATCCATAATATGCAGGAAACCCTGACGTTTCCCAAACCTCTACCTCTGGTGGGGCCCATGATCACGGTTGGTTGTGCCTCAACGCAAGAAAAACTAATTTTTTCGTGGGCCCAGGCCTCTGCTTCAGTAATGATGATGATATTTACTGGATTGGATTTTATTGCGCTGACGATCATTGAGTAGTGACAGTGAGGAACATATTCACCAGTGAAGCGGGGTTTTTGGTTCGCCCCCCCCAAATCGGGGGGAGTGTACCCTATGCTGTGCCCGGGGGACGGAGTACACCCCATACTCCCGGGGCCCACACGTTTTTAGGTAGTGAAGTGAGGATGATTGGCTACATTTGGGCAGGATGACCAAGGCATAGGGGATGGTGGTAGTGGTGAGGTAGGGGCACCGCCATGCATGACTCTTTTCCCAGGCGGGACCCACGCTGCTGATCGTCAGTTCAAGGACAAAGGGGAGCGTCAACCACCAGCCCACCACAACCAAACTACCCCCACAACCAGCCTAGATGTCCCCGTATACACCAGCAAACCGTTTGTGGGATTGGCACAAAATCCCCCAATTTTGTTCCCAAGCCCCCACCACTTTTATGACTCTCAAAGTGGAATTCTCCTACTTGTCCCCCTTTGGAACCCGGGCCCAAAGAAAATGGAATTCTTTGAATTATTTTTTGACCAGCCATTGTGGGAAACATTGTCAGGGAAAGTAATAAGTTTTTGGTACACCCTGGCAAATACAATAATCACCAAAATTTAAGACTACACGGTGGAAAGAACGACTGGAGAAAAGTATTTTTCTTTTTTCAAAAATAACTTTTGCCTCATGTCTAAAGCATAATATAAAAGCATACGGGCCACAGAACGGCTTTAAATTTTTAAACCCAGGAAATCATACCAGTGAACAGTTTTTTCTTAATCTTACTATTTTGCACTTCTCTGACAAAACCAGGCCTGAAGAAGGACAGGTTATCAAATTAGAAAGTTTTCGTATCCAAAAAAAGTTCAGCATATACTTTTATCCATTCAAGAATGTTGAATTGATGATCTTTTTTTTTGTTAAAAGGTAGACGTCATTCAGATATATACCGAGCAAGAGGAAATGTTTTGGATAAAACTTTTTTTACTCTTGACGTGACAGGGGCCCTGGGTTGGATATTGTTGTATAACGGGAAGAAAAAACATGAAAGATCCAAGATTTTTGGGTATCTCAGGTGACGTGGAAACAGATGGACCTATTTTGGGGTAAGGGCAACTTTATATACCGATAACGGGTACACAACCCATTACCAGTGATTTTCATCGAGTGAACAAAAAAGGGTGTGTTGGGGGCACATGTGTTCAATCGAACATATGCCCAGGCCAACGCAGGGCTCATGGGGTGAGGTTTTACTCCCAATGACATCATGGCATTACGGTGGCATGAAAAACGAGATGTCACATTGTTGACAACCATTCACCGTAATAAAAGAAATAAAGGCAAAGTTGATTGAGTGACAAAAAACTTTTAAAAACCATACAGTGTTTGATTTTTACACAAAACATGCGCTTGGTTGAAAAATGTACATGCAGTTGGGGTTTTTGGACTGTTTTCGAAGAGTTACAAGTTTACATAAACTTTTTTTCCCTCTCATAGACATTTCAAGCTCATTGCAAAATATTCCCAAAAAAAGACTGGAACAGACCCCGTTTGGGGAATTTTATTTGTTGTTTTCAGACAACTCATAATGAGTACCCGGTAAGAACCCGCTTCAAAAGGTCCCCGAAATTCCGGGTTACCCCGGGTTGAGGGGAAGGTCATTTTATAATACAGCTTCCTTTAACTCAGAAGAAATTTGACGAAAGTTCATCATCTGGACAAAAAAACGACTTTTTTGTGTGAGGGGAAGTAAGGTCCTCTGTGCATGTGCCTTGATTTAAGGGGTTCCACAAGCTCCAGGGGTTTTAAAACCATGTCCTTTTTTTGGAAATAGTAAATATATGATGAACATTAATTAACAAATTTTGTATTTTTATTGAATAAACAACGGGTAAAAAAATTTTAGTGATGAATGGTTTGAAAAACCCACAATTAAGTTGGCACTAAGCAGCATATGGGAAAAATTTATTCACCTCACCTCACTAAAAAATAAGCCCGCACGGCCCCCCCATGCTGTACATTTAAAAAAATTGATGGGCTGAACACATAACTCCAGGTGAGGGGCTGATTACCTCATACTCCCCTCTCCTTCCCCTTCCTCTTTTTATTTGGGGCGATGAAGCCAGTTGGCAAACATTTCCTGAAAAAGATTCCATATGCCTTAGTGTCTCTCTCTAATATGATAAAAAATTAGTGCGGTTTTTTGTTCAATACATGGTTTTTATAAACAATTTTAAAACATATTGGTCTCTCAGGCCCCAAATTTAGTTTAAAAGAAAAAAATTGGAAAAGAAAAGAAAAAAAATAAAAACCCCTTAAAAAAAAGGCGCGTATTGGAATTGCGATTTGCCGCCCCCCTCATTTTGGACAAAACTTCTTGGGACGTACTTTGGAAAATACTGCAGAAAAAATTTTTTTTTTTTTTTATTACCTTCCAAAAATTTCTCTTTAATTCTGTAAGAAAAAAAAATAATTTTTTTTTTTTTTTAAATTTTTTGGACTGGAGACCACTTCAATTTTGCCTGGGCCCTGAAGGGGTTTAAAGCTCACCATCACCTGGGGGAGGGCCCATTTCAACCTCATGGTGTCATTGGGGACTCTTCTCACTTTTATCCTCTTCATGTTTTAAATACAGGTGCTCCTATCCATTTTGACTCTTGCATTCAGTCTCTCCTGCATTGATTTTTCTATCTGTTCCTCACCCTTCATTTAAATTTCATGTGGCCTGTTCTTCCAGATTTACTTTGATAGTGATCACTTTCCTATCCTTCTTACTTAACCCTTTGAGGGTCGACAGGCCCTCTCCGAAACTCGTTCTCGGGGTCGGCCAAATTTAAAAAAAAAAAAATTATTTTCTCTTATGAAAAGATAGAGAATCTTTTCCCAATCATAAAGACACCAAAAGTTTGAAATTTGATGGAAAACTTACGGAATTATGCTCTCGCAAAGTTAGCGGTCTCGGCGATGTTTACGCATCGGCGATTTTGCCCACTTTGAGCCCCATTTCGGCCAATTCCACTGTACTAGCGACAAAAAACATGAATATTTCGCTAGAATCCATTTTTTCTATCGAAGGGGTTTGCAAGAAACCACCCATTTATGAAATTCAACTATCCAGTACAGTGGTCAAAATTTTAGCAATTTTGCCAATTTCACACAATTTCAAAAGATGCCAATTTCCGAATAGGGTCCAGAATAAACAAGAAAGACATTCCTGGCACTAAAATGACATTTCCTCTGGTCTTTAAGTCAGTCTCAAGGCCTCTCTTATATTCTTTTGCTTTCCCTTTGAATTTTTTATTCTCAGAAAAAATATAAGAATTACTGTTATGCAGACTACTGCATTAGTGTAAAAAATGGTATAAATATTTGGCGCACTTGTGAAAGAATATTAGACTCACCAGTTGACGTATATTGCATTCTTGGGCACGATTTTTTTTACTTTGAAATTTGGTAAAAATCGAACATTTCTGCTACTTTGAGCTCAATTTCAAGGTACCTTCATGTAAAACCAGTCAAAATCATCTCATTTTCTGTAATATGTCTTCCATTCTATAAAATGAGACCAAGAAAACTAAATACAACAATAAAAACCATAACTAAAAATACAGTGCAAAGTCGCTGTTTTTCCAAAAAAAATGGTCAAAGTTTTTTTTTTCTCATTATGCACTGTGTGCTGCAGGATTTTTTTTTGACTGTGCACACTGACCACATAGACCCATTCTTTCATATGAAGGCCCACCAGCTTTCTCCCATAGATTTGAGGGCCTAGAATTTAGGGGTACTAGTACGTCCCAAAAACCCCGGGTCGTAAGCCGTACTAGTACGTCCGAAACCCTCAAAGGGTTAAACTACATATAACCCAAACCCTTTCATAACCCTCGTTGGCAATTTCTCAAGCAGATTGGGACTTGTACTTCTATCTTACCACCTGTTTAAGGAAACCCCTTTTCATTATCTATTGATGGAAATGGTTTCAACCAGTTTTTGACCTTAGTCCTAACTGCGGTGACTAGTTGTATCCCCCCAAGCCTCAAATAGCATTCTCAGACATTGGTACCTTTTGGGGGTCGCCTACATGTGCCCATGCAGTACATTTAAAACATGTATGAGGCCGTTATTGATATAACCATACAGCAGGAGTGTCTGTTGGATTTTAAAACAAGCAAGGGGAGTTGCTCGCTGTGTCATATGCAACACTAAAGTGCTTGTTAGCGAGACTACGTGTCCACCATTACCGCATCTCCCCTTCTGAGTGTGATTTGGAAAAAGGTGCGGAAATTATGTGGTATACACCCGGACCCCGCTCCCATTTTTCGGTTGCTGGGTTTGATGTCCAAATTTTAAAAGTTTCCAAAAATCTTGAATTTCTTGTCTTTTCTTCCTGGGGGTTAACCTCTGCCCCCTTTCTTTCTTTTTCAAACCTCCCAAAAGCAATTGCCCTTAGATTTTTCCCCCTAGGATTGGGGTATAATACCTTTTCTCTTCTAAAATTAGAGCCATCTTTCCAGGGCCGGCCTCAGCACGGGACCTGATGATACCCATCAGTATGCACACCCATTTCCGTTCTATGGCCCTTCCCATTTTTTTACTCTTTTCAATCTAATTTGGTAGTGAGGGGTTCCCCCCCAA